GACGTAGTGAAGGAGATTTTGTTTTTGAGGCAGATTTGGCGTTTCATGTTGCCGCAGGTCGGCATGCCGTGCATCCCCGTCTTCGAGGACAACCAGGGGGCGATTCAACTAGCGCAGAACCCCATCTCAAACTCGAACTCGAAGGACATAGATGTAAGGCACCATTTTCTCAGAGAACTGGTAGAGAAGAAGGAAATTTCGGTCATTCACGTGCCGTCGCCGTACCAGCGTGCAGACTTCCTTACGAAGAGTTTGTCGAAGGATGCTTTCGAGTCTCACCGTGATTTTGTGATGAATTTGGCATGAACATCTTGTTATTTTTCTGATAGGTTGTCTTTTGTTTTTGTTTTGTTTCTCGTTTTGTTTCCCGTTTTCTTTCATTTCCCGCGCCAAGTATTTGTTACGCGCGATGCAGCTTCCTTTGAATTGTTTTTCTTTCTCTTATGTTATTCTGGTAAAGTCTTGGCATATCGTCTGGGAAAGACGTCTTTTGGTTGAGATATCCGGTATTATTTCGAAATTTGCAGTGAAGATACTGTTGCGAGCAGGGGGGGTGTTAGATATACTCGCAGCAGTATCTGGTCGTGAGGATCCCAGGGGATACGTGTTGGGAATTTCGTGTGTAGTAGGGTACCACCGGTGCAGTCGCGGGGATCCTTTTGGGGTGGTTGGTGCGATGGAGCTTGCGTGCGTGCTGCGCACTTCTTCTTCCCTCTCTCTCTCCACCACCACCACCGTCTCTCTCCAATCAAGTTTCCTTCTCCCACTCTCTCTCCAACTCTCTCTCAACCTCTCTCTCTCGGTCTAACACGGCCGACTACCCAGTGCCCCAAGTAACGTCCAGAACGTGCTTGCTGCACCCCGCGTAGTTTACCTTTCAAAGGTTGTTAAATTGAATGATTCGAAATTCTAACATGTGTGCTTTTTGGGGGTCTTGGCCAACGTATGGTAGTCGAAGATTTGAGTGATGGCCCTAATGACGCCGCTGAGCTCTGGGCGACCCGGTTGTGGCCTCACAGGGCTGGATGCATGTGGTATAATTTTCTTAACGTCCATCAACCAAAACTGTTTCACAGTGTAGGTATGTTTATTTTTTTGCTGTTGCAGCACTCGTGATGGCCATCGCTACTTCCGTGATTTTTTTCGATCTTATTACCCACCTCTAAAACTGGACCGAATGATAACTCTATCGGCAGGTGATGTAGTCCCGAGAAATCTTGGTACCCGTGACAACGCCGAATTGTGGTGTAATGACGCGCGGTACTTGTCTTGGTTATGTGCGTGAAAGGTGAGTCGTTGATCCTCGATACAGCTGAATACATCGATGAGGAATTCGTTCACCAAAGGACCACGTTGTTGAAATCGGGGTTCCCGTACGAGCAGCTGTGTCACCCATTGTGCGGGCGTGATTATATTCCAGTTGTGCTTTTCTTGGCAAAGTGCAAGCCGGATGCCCTGCCTTGTGAGAAAAGCAATGGGAACGTTAACGGAAATACTCTAATCCTTGTCGTAAGCGGAGATCACGTTTTTCTCGCCGGTGAGTGTCCTGGTCATTGCTGCTCTGTCACGTAGCATGACCCCTTAGCGCCTGTGTCGACCGCCATTTTTCCGCAGAAGGAGCATCATCAGGTGACGAGCACGCCAAATATTTGGACATATATGTATATGCTTTTTATTGCCTTCCGACAATTGCAGATGTACCTCAGAAAACTTTCACTAGATATCGTTCTGGATCGAGGCCTAAGGCGACAGGCGTAGCAAAAGCCACAGTTAATTTTTCGAATTTTGGCGAGTGTTTTCTTACAGATAAATGTATTGCAATCAATGCAGACAGTACATTTCTGATGATGTTGCGATGATTGCGTAACGATGCTAGCTTTTTACTGAGGAGGGACATGAAACAGGTCTTTAGTGAAGCATGTGTAATTGTTTGGTGTCAGTAGAAAGGAAGTAGAATACGTAACTGTGTTTCTTTCGCATCGCACGCACCGGTTGCTCATTGCAGCTGTAAAGCAACAAATATACGGCGAAACCTGTTGTATAGCCGTCCGTATCATTGTCATGATGGCTTCATTGAGTTCACTGTAGCCGTAGTTGGGATCGTCTAGTAGCCATCGAACGTTGGAATGCGAGCTTTCCCTCACTGAGTGGTAAGTCCTGCAATTTATTCGGGGATCATCGTGGCGAAGAATCGGCGCTGAATGAATGCCTTGCGGCGTTCTACCGCACCTTCTGCACGTTCTGCGGGGTGCATGCCCTCGTTGTCGTAGTCGCCGTCGAATGTAGGCCCCCAGTTGTAGTCGTCATCACCGCCACTCCTATTCTTACCCGAGTAGGCATCACTGCCGTCATCCTCCTGGTCATCGCCGCTTCTCCTACCCTTGCCCGAGTAGGCCTCACTGTCGGGATCCTCCTGGCCGTCGTTTGTACTCCTATATTCTTGTGGGAATAGTCGTTGCTGTTGTCATCCTGCCCCCTTGATGCTACTATTTCCGCTCCCCCCCCTCCCCCCCCTCCGGTGTTTACCATCGGGGTTGGATTTTCGTCGCTTGGCAACGACGTTGTAAAACAAGCCGCCCCTCCCGGTGTTTGCCATCGGGGTTGGGTTTTCGTCGCTTGGCAACGACGTTGTAAAACAAGCCGCCCC